GCAGAGCTGCTGTCAGTACAGCGCGTTTATGAGGACGGGCGGGTGTCACTCAAACGCCGTCTGATGGCGATTGCTGAGATTTATGACCCGATGCCGCCTGTGCTAACAGAGCCGCCAAACAACGCCACTTCTATAGATCATCGGTAATGAACGATTCGAAAACGCCACGTCAGCCTGCACTCGTTCATCTTCGACCGTCAGTCGGCGGTTGACCAAGCCTATTTATCGGACACACCGATCGTGACCGCCAACAAGTCCGGCGATGATTTACGACAGCTGCGCTACCGCTGCCCCTGCCACCGTCACTGTCATCGTCACCGTCACCGTACTCGACTCGTAGCTTCATCGTCTCTTGCCGCCGCCTCCGCTGTCGTGACGTCATCAGGGTCATTGGCCGAGAGCCCTTGGAGGCGCAGGGTGTCGAGTGTCCGATGGACGGACGTTCAGTAAAGGCCCGACCGAATTATAACCCACGCGCTTTATTCCTGAAGCCGTTAATTCGATAATTCAGCGTTAATCCGTTTCATATTAATTAATTCATATTTTTTGCAAATTTATTTATGATTCATTTTTAAGTTTCAGTTCAGTCTTAGAATCATCATGACGCTGCCAGCTTCTGCACCTGCCTCTGCCGTCGAAAAACTACTTATACTTTGTACATCACAAACCAGAGACATTGTGCTTATTTCAGCAAACAACGTTGCCTCTATGAACACCTGACTAGAGAGATACTGGGATGACCAAACAGTTGGGTTCCGTAATTAACTGAAGTTCCGTGGCTAATCACTGAAAATATGGCATATTTCATAATTGCAGTACATCACGGTATCGAGAGTAAATAAACTCTATTCCGAAAAAAACCATAAGCATGGAGACGTGGTTCGCTGCGAATTATCAATATTAAACCGGATTCAGTCTGTGCAAGAATCTGCTGCATCATTTACCTCATAAAACTGACGATGAGACCGCATCCTCAATGACCGAACAATCGAAAATCTGATCTCGTACAGCCCTGCTGGAAATCCAGAAGTAAGAAGCAAGAAGAATTGCCAAGAACAATAAATCTCACAGCTAAAAGTCATTCAGCACTGTCAGCCATACCTAAGTAAACTGGGAAAAAGGCAATGGAGGAAATATGAATTACGTCGGTAAAATGAGGCATAAACTTTCAAAACGGGTCCTCTACTGTGTGTAAAGGGATTTTACTGAATGATTTCGATCCCTCTACTCGCCTTCTCAGTGCGTTGCTGTTACCGTAGTCTAAATTACGAAAAGTTATCAGTAACGTTGTCCAGCTCAGCAGGGTCAGACTGTCCTAAGAGGGTTTCTGTCAAGGCATAACATCGATG